TTATTTCCTTTCCGTCTCCGATTGCGACGACCAATATCGCTGGGGACCGTGCGTATTCGTCGATCCACGAGATTAGACCGTAAAATATTTATATCTTAGCATAGCCTCGGATCCCGAATCGCGAGGAATTATGAGCAGAAATTTCTTATATCTATGAAATTTCATATATATATATATATTGAAATATTATAATATCATTATCGAAAAGAAGGTCATATAGATATCGTCGTGGATCGTTCCTCTTTCTTGTAAATATAAGATAATCATATCGTCGCAGAACAAGAAGGGCGAAATTCGATATCTCTTAATAGATTTGCAGTCAAATTCTTCTCCTCCCATTCCCATATCCTATCTAATCTCGTTATTGATTCATCGCAGACGACCCGATAGACGCGACGTACTAGATCCATACATCTATTAACTGAAATTCCAATCTGGGACTTCTATACGAATTTTCTCAATGATTAGCTTGAATCATGAATCTCGCCAGATCTTTATCAATCGTCCGATATCTCAAAAGCTTGCCATCGACACGAGCCATTGAAGCTGGAACGATCAACTAGAAAGATACTTCCTGATCCCTGAATTATTTTCGGATTCATTGCTTTTGATTCCCCTTCGAATATATTCATAATCATATATATTCGAATGAATTTCAGATTGCAATTAATGAATAATTCTTATCAGAGATTCACGAAATACGATAAGGTATTTATCTATATCATCTTATCCGCCATGATATGAGATCTTCGGATAGGACGAGAAGACCGCGATGCCGAAAGACAAAAAGAATAGAGAAATAACAATATAATAAGAGATCATAAAAAAGAGAGAGAGAGATAGCAAGAGATCGTATAGCAAGACGAAGAGAATAAGAGAGAGATATAAAAAGAGATATAAATAGAAGAACAATAGAAAGAGAGAGAGAGAGAGAGATATATATATATATACGCGTGCCTACAGATATATATATAAATATCCATTTCTATTTATCTATTCTAGCCGCACAATTCAGAGAGAGATAGATATAGAAAGACAGAGAGAAAATCAAGAGAGAGAATGCCACAAAGACAGAAAGAGACAGAGAGAGAGACATAGAGATAAATATAAATAATATAGAGAGAGATACAGATATATAGAGAGAGAGACACCCCCTTTATAGAGGGAGAGAGAGAAGCAAAGACTCAAAGAGAGACAGAGAGACGTAATGAGACAAAAAGAGAGAGACAGAGAGAGAGAGAGATATAGAGGAGAGATACAGAAAGACAGAGAGAAAATGAGACAGAAAGAGAGATATAGAAAGACGGAGAGCGAGAGAGAGAGAAAGAGACAGAGAGAGCGAACAAAATAATGAATCAACGAGAAAGAAAGAGAGAGAGAGAGAGAAAGATATAGAGAAAGAGAGAGAGAGACAGAGACACAGAGAGAAAGAGAGAAGCACAGAGATATAATTGCCACCAATATACTTGAGCCTTATTCAATCAATATGACCGGCATCAGAACGAAGATCCGTGATGCTGCGCATATCTGTTTCAACAAGAATATTAATGATCAAAATTATAACGATTGTTACTCAGCCACTTGCTTCACTTTTGGTTAACAACAAACTACTACCTACTGCTCAGGGAGACATTATTGGGTCGAATAATTAACTTTCCCGGGCACCACAACCTAAAAAAAAGAAATAAATATTAATTTTGGCGACCATAATATTAATTCATAATCATGACAACGGAGGTGATAGCGATAATAAAAACGGTTTCCGAGTCGAGATCAAATTTCATAATAATATCTTATACCCCGCGTCATCTAGAAAATTTTGTCTCGGTCTCTTATTCCAGAGATTAATTTTGATAAAGAGAGATTTCATCAGAAAGAAATAAAGACGTATTTTAGAGAGAGAGATTTCTAGATAACGACACGTACGTGCAAACAAGCAATTACTTCTCCTAGTCATTCTTCATAGAATCAAATACGGGTCTTAACGAGATTCCTGCAAACTCCATTTATAAAAATATAAAGAGAAATTTAATTCTCTACAAATTTCAACACAAAAATATAAAAAGAAACTTATAAATATTTTATATCTATATTCTAAATTTTCTGCAAATTTCAATATAGAAATAAATTTCCAAAAAATTTAAAGTCGAACAAGAAAGCCAAACCGAAATTATTTTTTTTCGAAAATTTACGGTCCTAAAAATTATATTTCTTCCGAACGAATAGTAAGAATAAATCCTCAATTTATAACAACGACGAAATTCGCTATTCATTTCTTTAATTTATCCTCCCTCCGAGCTTCTAATTTAAATTTTTTCCATCTAAATGCCCGTCCCTATTAATTTCTAATTAATTTTTTCTATATTCCTCTACCGCCTTCCTCATTTATCTTTCTCTCTCAGCCCTCCCGCCATATCCATCCTCCTCCTTCGTCTTCCTCCTTCATTCCCCGCCTCCATCCTCCTCAAACACCTAACGACTTCCCTCTCGCTCCATCCTTCCTCTCCATCCATCTCTTCCATTCCCTTCCCCCATTCCCCCTCTTCGTCCCCCTCCTTCATTCTCCGTCTCCATCCCTTACCCTTTCTTTTCTTCCCTCCATTCCCTTCGTCCCGACCCGTGCCCCTCGCCGTGCCGTGTCTCCCTCCGTGTCCCTCCCTCATAATCTCTTCTCTATCACTTTCCGTGGCGTCCCCTTCCGTGTCCTCCTTGATGTCCCCCTCCCTCTCCCCTGCGTATCTCCCTCCGTATCTTCCTCCCTCCGTCCCTCTCCGGCACTAGAATATCGCTCAAATGGGTCTTGCTATAATGCTCAAACCCATATAAGCACTCTATATTCATTCTCTAAATTTTCAAGATTTAGAGAATGGTTTTCCAAAATTTTCCCAATTATTTAGAGGCCGAACAAGACAATAAGTCCGAAATTCTAAATTTCCGCTCCCCCTGTGTCTTCTTAAAGGTTAGAACATTGTATCTATTTGTAAAAATATGATTTTCATTTCCAAGAAAATATATATTATTTATTCCAAATAAATTTAGGAAATCTTATTTTCTTATTTCGCAAAATGATATTCAAATACGTTAACTCTTAAGAATAAAAAAATACTAAAGAAAATTTAAATGTAAGAAGAAATCATATCCTAAATCTCATTTCATTTGTAAAAATTCCTTTACGACTAGTATTGTCATGAAGCTCAGTTCCGAGCGGTTCTGACCTCACAAGGAAACCCATTTTGGGGGCCGTTTGGCGGAACCACGTGCAGTTGAGGGAACTTGTGCACACCACATGTGTAACCGCTTTCTGGCTTTCAAACATTGTTTCCAACTGAAGCAAGCCACTTGAGCTCTCCCTTTTGCTCTCACTCGGGAACGCAATAGCATGTGGTTTCTGCCGGATGCCATGCCACAAACCCCAACTGTTCGCAATCAGAATTTGTGAGTTTGAGAGAGTTAGGCACCCAGTGTTTCGTTCGAAGGTTCCTAGATGGAATCCCCGATGCTTTAGAGCCACCTTGGCCAAATGTCTTGTCCTCGATGGAGCCACCGCTTCTTTACAAAGATTTGGAAATCGGGGCCTGGTTGGGGATTTACGGTTGAAGCCTTGTGATGAATTGGGTGGAAATCTCCATATTCCCTTAGCCTTTGGTTCTGTAGTTCCAATAGTTCACACAATTTTACCAGCATTGCCTACCCGACTTATAGAGAACTTTGGCGCCTCTTGGAGATACAGCATTGCCCTCAAATCCCTAAAGGCTTTCCTTGACGAGCGGGCCGGAGGACTTCACTAGGCAGGATCATGGAGCAGCTTAGCTTAGGCTTCTACCATTCTGCAAGAAGCTCTTACATCCAAACAATGTAACATAATATAACAGCCACCAATGACTAGAATGGTTCGGGCGATGTTATAGTAGTCTTACAAGCGCTATATATAACGTAGGAAGATCCTAAACCTCTGATGAATTTAGATATGCGGGTCTCGACTCCCGCCAGTTGGCAAGCCGGGCGAGGCTTTCGACTTGCTAGACAGGCGAGTGAGACAGTAGGATTTCGGGTTTAGGGAGAAGAGGCCACCTCTGCTTCAAGGCAGGAGCCAAGTGTAATGATTTGCGGCGTCTGCAGGAAACCCCTGCGGTGAGTCAGGAGCCTCGAATCCCCCGCAACGGAGTTTGCGCTTAGGGCTGAGGATTTAGGATGTAGGCCGTGGAACTTGTGACAGAGATCAAGCTGTTGCGGGTCTATGATGGGTGCCCTTTGAGCCTTGTTTTCGGAAACTCCCACATGACCCACGAAACTGCTGGCGGCAGCGTCGGCACTACCTTCAGCTCAAGAAGCACGGCCACCTAAATCGTTGCCTGATCGCGGCTTCTTGGCTGTGTATTTTTTTGACGAAACCCGTCTGATACAAGGCCTGAGTCTGAGATGCCCTGGCAGTCCGTATGTGGTTAAACGAAACATCCCAAAACCCTCTTAAAACTATATATGAACGGTTCCTTAAACCTAAACAGCGCTGCGATAACCTTTGTCGGACCTCGAAGCGGCTTCACGCCGAGGCTGTGGCCTATGCCTATCGTGCCGGTAGCCGCAACAGTAGCATAGTAGGACTATTGCAACCTTATGCCATGGTAGCATAATTACGGTGTTTTGGTACCATTTCTATGATCATTCTAGCATTGTTCTGGTCGTAGTAATTAAAGTACTACGGTAGTAGCCAAGCATTGATCCTTTCTATATACGCCACTGAGCTAATGCCAGGGCAGCCATGAACCTGTCTTGAAGGTTGAAGGGTAGCTACCAGTACGGACAGATGTAAGGTAATGGCGTCACGTCTAGCTGTTCCAAGTCCTGACCCAAGCACTTGAAACCCATCTTATCTATGTCTGTGTCGGCAAATGGCGATTGGGGGCTGACGCTGTATTTCTATGTTCATAAAGTCATAAGCTCTGGTTTCCATGAACCAGTGGAAGCTCAAGAACAAAATCGCCAAGCCAGAAAAGTCGCAATCACAATTCGTCGATGACATTGATGTGCACGCTCTTCACAGATTCTGGCTGAATATGGCAGCGAAGCACTTGCTCCTGCGAGCCCATCTGCGTCTGTGCACAGTCCTGAGGAGCGGCAAGGGCGACATAGATTAGGTCGATAAGGTATATTCATATATCTGACTTCTGCTTCTATATGTCCTGATCGTGCCTACCTGTGATGATTTGCCAACTGTGCTCGGGAGCCCTCTACAAAAAGGCGCTTGGACATTGTGCAGGGCTTGAAACGGAAGTGGTGTCGAAACAAGCTCCTTTCTGCCTTTCATGCCTGCTGAAAGCCCTTCAAGTACGTCCGGCCATGAAGCCCGGCTAAAATTCTAGGTAGCTCGCAAATTGCAACCTTCAACATTCGTCGCAATTGTATACTCAGAATACTCTCCAAGAGCCATGTCAACAACACGGTGACTTTTGAATGTTCGTGCATCACGACCGCCAGCATGTTGAAACCTCTAACAACATAAAAGACATACACATGTCGACTGTACATATTATAGAGCTCTTTGTGAGGCGTCTAAGGACCGCACAGAAAGCCGTGAAACAAATCCACCCTACAGCCTTAACGTAGGGTTAGAATAAGGCTCTGGGGTCAGTTATGGTACAATTGAAAAGGTACTATACGGGATACTATTGCCAAGTGTTCAGAGACACAAATGCAAAACCCCCGTGAAAACGCTACAAAAACCGTAACACCCCGTAACCCCCATCAAATTCCTAACCCTAAAACCCCATAACCCCCATCAAATCCTTTAGAGTCACTTGTTCCCCAAACTCGGAACCGGTCCTCCTGAAGGACGGCCACCGGCAGCTGCAGCTTCTTCGGGCTCGGGCCTTAACTTTTCAATCTAAGGAGTAGGGTTTAGGGTTTAGGAGGCGGCGCACCACTAAAACGCCTCAGTAACTCGAAGACGGGGCTTTATGAGAGTTCAAGACGGTCTTGAGGTTGTAAGATGTCTTCAAGCTTCTAGGGGGCCTTGATACAACGTCTTGGGGTATTGTGGCATTTATTTGTAAAAGGGCTAGACTGTACGGGATTCCTGCAATTACTCAAGTCTCTTCCTTCCTTGGCTCTGGGAACCACGCGGCCAAAGGCAAACTAGCCAAAAACCCACGCTGCCCCAGACGTTCGCAAGGCCCCCTTTGAGGCCGCCCGTCGGGTGTGAGATCCAAAGTGGACCCTCATTTCCTTATAGCACCCTTATAGAGACCCTGATAGATCCCTTTATTTAGGAGCCTGAATAATTTGACCTGCGGTTTTGAGATACTAAGAAGAAGTCGTAAGTGTGTTGCAGGTAAGTGCAAAACGTGCACGACGTACGGTCCTCTTTTAACATAGGGGCCAGAATAGTTGATAACGCTACTGCCCAGGGCTCCTTATTACAAGTTTACTTTGTGGGTAGTTCTTGGGAGCGCTTTTATAAGGGTGCCGTACTACATTGGGGACCTAAAAAGGGATCCTAATTTGGAGAACTACCTATATTCTTATCTATCCGGAAACCCAACTCTAATTATGAAGGTACCTATATGGGTAGGTCTCTAAATTACGGGCCTGTGTAGGGTCCTGTTTATAAGGGCACCATACTATTTTTTGGCCCAAGAAAGGGGCCCCTACCCAAATTGGACCCTTCAAGGTACCCTCATAGAAACCCTTACAACCCTACTAAACCCCCGAACCCTAAACCCCCAAACCCTAAACACCTAAACTCCTAAACCCCGAACCCCTAAACCCTCAAGAAGGAAATAAATAGAACTTCCTTGTCTCTGTTGGGAGAACAGGCAGGGACATCGAACTGCTTATCCAATTTTGCACAATGAGACACAATCAGCTTCGGCTACTGCTACAAGCGTCGGGTTTATCTCAC